GCGTCTGCGACATTACAACTGACCGCATGTCCGTAATTAGTGCGAAATTAAAACATATTTTCCGAAGTTGCTTTTTTTTCTTTGTTCTATCCCCTAGCAGTAAGCAATTACAGCAACACTGTTTGAAGTTATTGTCACGAATGCTGTTTCACGTTTAATTAATTTATGCATAGTTTTTTTGAGGCAATAAAGAATTTAAAATTAATAGTAACGTAAAGTTTTTAATTATTTAACTAACATTCTCCAAATATAAAATGCCGTCTACAATGTATACCAGTGTCATAATACATACGAAAGTCATATAAATCCTGACAAAAAAAGGTCCTATTCAGAATAATATAATACAATAAAACCCATTATCTACCTTTAGCGTTTTATTAAAAGCGTTTTCACACATTCGTCGTAACATTAACACGTGAAACTGTCGCTGTGATGGTTCGAATTAAATGAACTAAGAACACAAACGGCCAAACGACACGCTTAATGAAATAACACTTATATTTTACGGCGCAAAAAACACGCACATGTGCTAAGAATTAGCCAGACGGATGGACGGATTACTGAAATGTGTTTTTCGTGACTATGTTTGTCTTGTAAGGCGTTCTAATGTACGAAGGGACAAATTGTTGACACAGTGTCATCTTTCTTAGGGACCGATACCTGGTCGGAACTAGGGCAGCGATCCGTGCAATAAATGACAACGAATTTCTCTGTCCAAATTTTGTCGACGAACATTTAACTTTATGTTGACGTGAGAGAGTTGTGTTTTCTTTGAAGTTTATGGTTCGTTGTAAAGTTTATTTGGTTTCGCTAGGTGTAGCCATTTCACAGTGGTGTTTACGGAAATGCGTCGGCGACAGTCGCACCGTCTCTAAAGGACGGTTTGTTGTTCTGTCAGTTCGGCGCGTGGGCAGATGGAATAACAGATTTTGATACAACACAAAAAGTGCTTAGATTTTAGATATACGATTCATGTAATGCCGAATCTTTCATGTTGTATTGTGTTAAAAACACCTACATTCATTGTATTTTTGGAGATACAATATGCCATAAACATTTAAGATGGTCAGAGTTCGGTTGTTAGAAAAGATATAAAATAAAATAAGGTGAATAATTGAATATTTTATACAAAATTCTATTCTTTGACCTCGGTTACAAACACAAAAGAAATAACTTATTTTTTTGATTCGAAACTTAAATTGACTTAGTAGGTTTTTTAAGTTTGTAGAACAAGACTACGCAATTTATCCTCAAAATAACTAACACCCAGTAGTTGTAGTAGTTGTAATGAAAAAAATAATCGAGACAAGACGCCATGTAATGTGATAAGAGATTCTAGTTGGCAAGTCTCTCAAATAAATTAACCGTCATCGATTTCTTATCGAAATAAAAAAAAAACAAAAAAAATCCTACCCGTTAGTGCTAGCTAAATAAACGGGTCCGAGGAAACTAAAAAAAAACAGCTTCCAAAGAGGTTTAAATAGAAGGTTCAAGATAAAATACAAAATCGGAAGCCATTATTTAGAACCAGGTATTCTTTATTTAAAAAAAAGCAAAAAAGGTAGTTTGCAAACTCAAACGTTATCTGATCTTTGAAACAAAAAAGTTCTTGAAAGGCGCTCTTTGCTTACTGATTAGTTCGCAACGACTAAATTTAGATTGAAGATAAGAAATTCTCTGTGATCTTTATATAGTCTTTATACAGGTAAACTTTAGTATTTTCTAGCATTCTTAGGATTTAGGTTTGATTGCTTAGAAATACAACAACAAACTGATTTAAATATCAGAATATAATATGTATAATACCGACACTCATTATTTCTTGATGTTTACACGTTATTATATGTATGAGAATTAACAAGAAACTACTCTTTTTCTTCGATATCATGTCTGTGTTAATATCAAAGTTATATCTATAAAAGAAAAAGCGAGTCTATTTTCAAAGAACAAATTCCAAACTCTATTTTCATCATCATCGTCATCATCAACTGGAATACGTTTAACTGCTCAATATTTCAAACCAAAGTTTAGAAATTGCGATTGTCTGATCTGAACTTTAGCGTGAAAACCGTACTGTTTCCAAAGAATTGACAGTCAGTTGTTTACACAAAATATTGTCATTTTATTGTAATTGAGAGACTGGGTCAAAACTATTTTGTTCATGTCAACTGGTTTATTTAGTTACACTGACAAAATATGGAACTCCTTACTGAGCTCGTTTCATGATTTCCCAATAAGTGTTGCGTGGGTATCCATATTTATTGGTCTTTCAGATGTTACAAATGCTGTAAACTAGAAATAAATAACGTCTGTTTACATACTTCTGTAAAACTCTTCCGAGTTGTATAAGGGATTTAAAATTATTTTGACGTACACAATTTTCATTGTTTTCATGTAGTATACACAAACCAGCTAATAGTAGCTCATATTATAAAAAAAATATGGCCGTTCAAATTCAAAATATGAAGGCGGTCAATTTCAGTTATAATTTAACGAACAAAGCTCGATTTACATTGATTTACATTGACTTCATAACAAGCGGACTTGTGTATTTTATTATTTTTGTAGCAAAGAAAAAAGTATTTTATTGAGGGTCACACACACGTGTCAGCGTTCATAAACGTCGTAGCTTTGTGTAGGCATTCCAGATTCGAACCGTTTTTCAAATATCGAACAATGAAGTACACTAAACGAATAAATCTATTGTATCCAGCCTGCTATAAACAACTTTTTGTACTTATAAATCCAGCCATTACTAACCGTATGCGAGCAAAACTTTTTTCTGTTTTTACTGTTTGTTTTTTTCGCTTATCGAAGTATGTTCAAAATTTTATCTCGAAAAAAAAAGGTAAATTATTATCATGCATCATACCACGTTCTTTCGACTATTAATAATATTACTACTATTTTTGCGTAACAAAACAAACAACAGAACATCTTTATCGAATTTTGTGTTATTACTTTTAGCGAATGTTGCTATTTTATCCTTCAAAGGACACGAAATAAAATTCAGTCAGTCAGGGCACTTTGCAGCTCCAACCTAGCTAGATTTTCTAGTGCGTTTTACTCCGTAATACAATTTCACTGTAAACCCTATCGACTAGAGCTATCGAACAGAGACAAGTCCATTAAAACTCAAAACAATCCATTTGAGGCGATACATGAAACAGTGAAATGTTAAAAACTTTTGTCGAAGTTTTTAAAGAAGTGACCTGTATCCTAAATTTGTATACAACACTAAAAATCTATTTTAAAAATAAGAGTAAAATATAAATATCGTATTTAAATAAAAGAATAAGGTTAAACTATTTCGTATGCTTCGGAGCTGTATTTTTTTTTATATTTACTTGCCCCATATACTTCCTTTAACTAATTATCCTGTATAAAACTTTATGCTGATTTAAAATTAGATCTTTGACTATAATTTTGTATACGCAACTTTGGATTTCCAAAATCTATCATTGTTATATATATTTCTAGAGAAATGTTTCAGAAAAAAAATTGAATGGAGAATTGTTTTGTTACGCTACCATTGTATGAAAAACTTTTTGCTCTATGTCAAAATGTCACATTCGTTCCAAAAGTAAAGCATCGTTTAACATTGACTTAACTTCTTTACGCTTTGATGAGCCACTTGTGTGGGTTCAGCAAGGGAAATATTAGTACCCCATTTTTATGATTTATGTTTATACACTAAAACTGCATTTAGGTAAAAAATGAACATTTTATTAATAATAATAGCTAAGTATAAAATTTTAATTCAAATTCTGTTTATCTGTTTTAGAGGCGAAAAGGGCAGGAGGCAGACCTTCATCAAATGGACTGAGAAACTCACAGACAACCCAGCATCTAGATTCAACACTATGCACTTGCAAATGGCCACACCGGGGCCGTGGAGACAATTTGAACAATCTAATGATGCTATGGTATATTTTATCTTGCCCAGCTTCAAAGTACTGATTACAGACATATTTTCTAACTTTTTTTCTTAAGCTGTAGCTTAAATAAATAGCTTCAGAACGATCATAATTTTAACGAGTACGACAATGACCAGATACTGTGTTTTTCTACGCTGTTGATTGTAAAATATGCGATAGACAGATGCGGGATACACATGTGTTTTGTTAACCTAATGAGATTTGTCAATAAGTTACGGTTCCCGCTTTGTATTTGTCCCCGGAGTATCATTTACTGTGTTTATTTGTAAAACACGATTTTAACGCTTTAAAAACGTGGTCGTATTTTTTAGTGAGTGTGAAGCGCCCTTTAGCTTTAGGTTACATTAGAAACGGAAATTAATTACATATTCTGGTTAAATAATAGACTTTTAGAATATGGTCTTTTTTGTTAACATCAAAGTTTTAGTTTTTTTATGATACGTAGGTACTTACATCCAATAATAACAAATATTTCGTTATCATCCCGCCCTCAAATTGACCGCTAATATGCCATCCCTAATAACTTACATAATTAATACAGATTAGGTACCTATTCATTATAAGTTTTTAAACATAATCATATTCTCCGACAATGCCATTAGGTACAATCAAAGAATAAAACTTTATCCACACACCCCACGAACAAAAATAAGCCAATTATCAGAACACCAAACTGAAATTATCCACAAGAATTGTAATGTCAAGGTTCACCTCTAATAGCCTTGGTCCCAGGGGGTAGCGGTCCCCAGATATTTAGTGCCTTGCCGTACCATCTTAGATTTGTGGCAACATTGCCACTAAAATAACCGTGTCACCCCTATTGCACTTAAGTATTTATGTATTGAATAAGGGCTATTTCGAAATGGATTTGAAATAGGAACGTGTGACGTTTTTTGCGATAGTCTTTTTTTTTATTTTATCGATATTTCAAATGCAGTTTGCACATAATTTCATATTTTTATTAAAGTTATTTTCATTTAATATTTCAACACTACTTGTGTATCTTTTTATCACATTTTTTCACTATAATTGATTAGAAAAAAGTTTATTTGAAGATCTTACCTGAGAAGAAGCATATCAGTCCAAGTAAAGACGTCACCAAGGTCAGGATATCCATCATGGAGTCCCTACCACATCTTCAGCTTGACAAGTGATGTTGAATGAAGACGACCTTCATTTTTGTCCTCCTCATACATCTGGAACAACAAAACATGACGTTAATACATATTTCAATGTAATTTTTCGTTTAGTTATTTTGATATCATTCTATTTCACCTAAAGTAATTAAAAAAAAAGCGGAATATTATTTTACATAGGGTTCTTTATTGCTTGTACCTAAATATTGTTTTTCTATTAGTTTAATGGCTCTCGTATTAGTATTTTCACCTATATTGTGCCGCAAGCATAGTCTATCTAAATCTCTTACAGGTATTAGATAAAATAAAACAGAATAATTTGAAATTATGATTATTGAACATCAATCAAGTCTAAATTGACTATACTCCCAAACAAATTCAACTACCTCCATACAAATTACTCCATTTTTCGGCCCCAAATAAACACCTTGAAAATTTTATTTAAATAGCCACTCTAATTTTGTTAAGTTTATCAGTTTGGGGCCTTTCCGTAATTTAGTTTAGTTACACGTTGGATTTCGTGAAAGCCCTTTTGGGCCTTTATTCAATAATATAACGAAGTAACAGGACCCGTGGGTCGGTTGTTGTAAATTTGAGGAAAAAGCCCTCTTCCATCTATTTATTATTTTCCACGGATGCTTCGGATTAAAATATTGATTTTTTTTCTGTTTATTTCTCGTCAACGGTTTTAACATTGTTGACTGAGGAACTTACTTTTAGAATTTTTGAGGCTTCGATTGAGACTTTGGCATACAGAAACTTAGCTTTTGTTTTCAGAGACCATCGATATAATGTACTATCTAATGTTATTGTTAAGAACTGCTATAGGAAAACATTTAAAGTAGTGAGTGCCTAAGTACTTCCCGACTCAATGACTCCCAAAGAGACCCAATTTTATAATGGAATATTCTCGGTAATAAGTAGATCAGTGTATAAGGATAATAAGGAAAATACATTCATGAGCCTGAAAATCCTTAGTGTATTGTAAAAGCTAATTGTCATCGTTAAATAATATTATCTTTCATTCGCTAATGTGAGTACTCTGGCAATTTGCCAGATTTACTCGCATTCAGTACGAATTTATGCAACCAAAACCTCTTTGCGACAGGCAGCTTAAATTTTGAGTACGCAATGTAAGAGCACTCGACTTTTCAAATTTGTTTACATCCATTTATGCAACTTTGACAATTATTTAGTTAATTATTACTTAATATAGAGCTTATATTTCTCTGGAGTCTGTGACAATTTTTGCTGAACATTTTATATTTAAAAAATATTATAATGTTCCCATTTTAAATCTGTCCAAAATGGTATGTAATGAACTGATAATTATTGAAGGGACTTTAATTTGTAAATCAAACAAAATCGCGATTGATTATTCAAAATAATATACGTAAATCCACCTAAAACAAAAATTCTAAGATAAATAATCCCAGGATGTGGAATACAACAGTTATTTCTCATCTATGTCAAGGTTGGAGTACCATTTGGTACTAAAAAAACCGAATAAATTTCATAAATACATCAACAAATGGGCGTCCTATAAACAAATCCAAAATATTTATACATACCTATTGTAAACATTTAACCACTCCAATGAATGAGTGAATACGAAATTCAAGTTCTTTGGATTGCCCAAAGTATTTTTAAGTACCTATAATTTTGAAATACCTTCTATAAACTTGGGCTTTATCCGTTTATACACTTCGTCATGTCTAAATAAATAAAAACAAACATGGTGACACTTTTCCTGCATAAATGTAAACAACTTCAAAATATTTTTATTTCAATTGACAACTTGAGTAAACGGCTGCCGTCAAGTTTTGAGAACTCTTGGAAATATTTACTGAATGATTCATTAGAAGTATTTAATTTTATTGGTGAAATATAAACTGAAATGTTGTGTTTTTAGGCTTAAAATAAAGCATAATTAATTAACCTTTAAGTTATTAGAAATTAACTACTTTAACAACTGGGTACAATTACAAGACTGTTAAGTTTAATTTTTGTATTTTTAAATTTGATTCACACAAACGACATTCTGTCTTTGTATTTCGTGTCAAAAAATTAGGAATATTAATATTATACTATGAAATATGCTTTTTTAAATATTGTATTAATCAATATATACAATTTAAATCAAGTGGCTGAATGTTGCTCTTAAATTTAAGAATAGTATTAAACTGAAAATTACTTTCGAAACATTTAAAAAAATTAAGCTAAATTATTTAAACGAGTATTAAATTTGACCTACGACTATTATTAAAAACATGTTTGTAAACATTTAATCGCGATCATTTGCCCGGATATGTAACAGCTTGTAGTTTTCAATAAATGTCACAATGTTCAGACGATTTTTCAGAAATATGCGTTGTTTACTAAACCCCGAAAGGGGGCACGTGTCGGAAGACATTAAAAATGATCATTATTAATTTCGTTTCACCTAATTTTGTGTTACGCAACTGTTACCAAGATTTTGTTTATATTAAAGAGTTATTTTTTAAATAATGTATTTTTAATCTGGCAATAACGTGATGTGACAAATTGGTTGAAATTTAATCTGTCTCGTTCATCTTTTTGAAGTAAATGGCAAGCCACTTGGGATGATGACGCAGTTAAATATAATTTACCTCAAAAAAAATCTATATATCCTGATCTGGTATTGATCTATATAATATTTTGGTCTTTTTCTAGCCTATTAGAGAGAAATACGTTTAAATATAATATTTCGAAAATTCACCGAAAAAAACGTATCGCATTCTAAATTTAAAAAAAGTGCTGAAATGTATTTTCTTGTGCTCATCATTAGAACTATAAAAGTAATTAGAACTGAGAATATACAGTGCATACATAATGTCTGCTGTCTGCTTTGCATTAAGTATGAGTTATGAAACCAAATATATTAAGAGATTTATACCAAGAAAAACAATTTCGTCCTTGTCAATGTCCTATTTTTTTTTCTTTATTTAAGTAATGTTGTCAGTTTGTCTCGAAATGAGTTGACAACATTTAATCCTTGCGTCAAAATAATGTGTCTTAACACAGCTGACACAAGCAAACTGACAGGTGTACTGGAACAGTCAAAATAAGCTTTTCTGGGATAATGCTTGACCTAAATTGAGGTCTAGAATGCTAACGTAACACGTTTGATTTGTATGTCCTGGTAAATCTTGAAAAGTGATTAAAGGGAATAATCTTGAGGATTAATTTTTAATCATGATTATATATTATTATATTATGGTATATTTTTTCATGTGTTTTACATTATTTGTTGGCTCATCTGTACTTTACTCAAAGGTTCTACTGATTGATAATGCATAATAAGGGCTCATCAAATGAATTCTTCTGCCCTAAGATAGCCCTAGGAGAGAGTGTAAGATTTTTATTGACTAAAAACTAGCCTGTTTCTTTTATCACCTCTAATACAATTTCAAATTCAAATTCTTTATGAACATCCAGGTCTGGCCTCGATAAACCGCGCTTGCAAAAACAATCCCGGTTGGAAAGAATCTCAAGTTTTAAGTACGCGTATGTACTTCCAGTGCATGAATATGATATGATAAATTAATATTTCAAACCTGTACACTTGTACACTATGAACTAGGGCAGAGTATATAATATTACACATAATTAACCAATCACACTAATTAAAGAAAACTTGTCATAAATAAACGAAATAACGAACCCTTTACTGTACAGCTGAAAAGAAAATACTATATCAAGGAGTCTATTAATATTAAATTCATTATAATTAAAACCTCATTCACTTGACTCCCTGCCTACCGATTTCAATTTGATGAACTGCGTAATTAACCCGTTGCCACATAATCTGTTCCCTAACTTCAAACCATTATAACCAAAGATAGATACACAAACACCCACTCCAGAATTTCGTCGAACTTCAAAATCAATCTGATGATTGACAAGGATGTTTCAATTAAAACTGACAGTCTCCATTGATCCAATAACATCGATATGTCTGATTGGTTACAAATATTTAATACTAACTTAAACGAAAAGCTATAACTTTATCTGTATAACGGTAACAAAGCATTTCACACTTTATTTAGTTTGTGTTAAGGTTAAATTTGGGGTTGTCTGATTATTCTGCGGGTATCCAATATCTATTAAAGTAAAGGATTTCGTGTGATTTGTTTATGTTAAGTAGGAAATAGTAATTTAAGTTTGAGTCAAATTATAAAACACTATATTTAAGCCTTGGGCTGCCTACTGAACTACTAACTACACAACTGTTGAAGGCAAATCGTCCTCTAACGTATGTTATGTGTTAAGTAAATAAATATAATTTTTATTTACGTTGCTATACGTGAACCTGAACACGTCTAAAGAAATCTTTTTATATAAAGGTGTCAATGTGGAAAAAATAACGCCACAAAGCGTATCGTGGCGCGCCTAAAGCGTAATATCTGTTACATACATTAATTTGCACAAACTCTCGAGCAATAAAAGATACTTAAAACAAAAGAAAGCTCAACATAGAAATGCAAAACACATCATGTGAACTTCTACCTATAATATCCCTATGTTACAATGCAAACACATATATGTATATTATGACCCTGATTTAACTTTTGACTGGTTCAAATTAGTTTATCTGAACTCAAGTGCTCTTGACAACTTCCGTGGCGGGTAACTGCCGCTTATTGCTGTATGATTCGATATCTTATCGTATCAAATTGTTAGTATATTGTTTGATTACACAGATCGAGTATGGGAGCTGTGTTTATGAGAAAGATTTTCATTTGTAACGTTGCCCCACATTATCATTTTCTTCTCTGTCGTGGTTGCTTTACAAACATAAAATGTCACAAATATATCACACATAGACTTTGAACCACCATTATATGGATAACACAAAGATTAGATCCGTGTACAGTCAGGCCTAGATACCGCGTCAACTGTGCAAGTGTAAGTAGTCAAATTTTTGTTTAATATGTTTATTATTTAAGTTTTTACTAAGCATAATATGTGATTTGGTATTCTCTGTCTTTTTCTAAAATGAAATGTTGTACAATATATGATAAAATTCTAATTATGTT